GGGTGTTCGACAAAGTTGACGACGGGGTAGAAAATCCTCTCAGGTGGCGATCGAAGCATATCTTCAAGGGGTCTCCCAGGGCACACACGAATAAGATGCTGCTCGAGTTGCTCCACAAATTGGAAGTAAGGTCCCCTCCGATACTTGGACTTACCCTCGCCATCATTGATCCATTTTCCCCCTGTCACTGATTCAGCCTCCAGGCGACATAGCTGAGTCGGCGAATGCTCTGTATGATGCCGTTCAAAGACATTCTACCCCGATCTCGGTTCCAGACGAAAACATCTATAATACCCTCAATATGACGGAAATAATTGTGGCGGTCAAGAAGCATGCCCAGGAGAATCCTGCCGGAGACCCCGAGGTTAACCAGAATACTGGAGAGCGCCAGCAAGCACAGTGTATCTGTAGAATTCAATAGCTTTAGGTTGAGATCTGAAACCTACGTTCGTGGATTTACGGTAAAAACGATAGAACATGGCTTCTGAAAGCCTCGAAGTCGAATGGAACCCTTAAATCTGGAAACCCTGTATCTATTGATGGGCAAAGCCAAAAAAAAGAGCTAGCGTGATTGTAGACAGCTGAATTAAAGCGAGCCGTGTGAAAGCTAGCAACAACATGAGGCCCGACCACAGGTGATATGGATCATTTTGTGAGACGCTTTCCAAGGAACTTCAAATTGAGAACATATATACCTTCAGCTCCCGGCCTGATTCCTGCTGGGTATAAACCTAGAGGCAGATTGATCGAGGAAGTTGGAACCGAGGGACCGTTAAGAATTGGCAGAAGTATTCGAAGTGCATGCGATTCGTACGCTCCATTTCCCAGCATCTTTTGAGAGCGTTCCATCAGATCTCCTTCTATAAGTTGCATAGTCTGTGGATCTTTCGGTTGTCAGGAGAAAGAATATCGAGAATTCTGAAAGGTATAGATTCAGGGTGAGGCTGTGGAGGCTCTATTGAGCATCGGCGGGACGACTTGGGTGATAGACGGCGTATCTATACCACTCATATTATGGCTCAGGTGGGGGTACACATCGCTGTCATCAGTCAGAAGAGATGGAGTAAAGCGGTAAAAGACAAATCGATAAGCACTGGGAAGCACGCGATCAGGATCTGGGCGTTTGGCAAGGCCGCTGACTAAGAGGCTCCCACCGAAGTAGTGAAGCGCTCATGCGAGCCAATACCGACGGTTGCTTTGTCTTCGACTCCCACCACGACTCACTAAAACTTCGTCACCTCTGTTCTGAGTCCTTTCCCCCCCCTTCCCTCAAACGGGACTCGAATAAATAACACGTGTGGGTACGGACAGCTCTCGCTGAGCTACGAAGGGATAAACCTACTTGCCGTGCTTGTGGAAATGTACCACTGTCATCCAATTTGTAGAGGTATGACTGGAACGACCCCACTGTGCGTGTTTTGAAGCCCGTCTTGTGTCTTACTTATACCAATTTCTAGTGTTATAGACGATATGGAACGGCTCTCACCTTCTCCGAGTTAGTAATGATGTTGGGTTGGTGCGCCTGGACGTCGCGGAGTGGTTTAAGTCCCGACTCCCGCCAGCCCGCTCAAGAGCCTCATTTGGCTCGAGTCGATGGCTAGCTTTTCTGGCTCTGGATAGGATGAACGAGTCATGTGGCGAGGCATTCAAGTTTTTCGAGCTGATATTGTGAGCCATGATTATGCTGAATCCTCAGAATCCTACCCATCCTCGTTAATCCTTCGATGGTCTGTCTCATCACTATACTACGGCTACACGGTAATCGTCCCCGACCTCGATACAGCCTGCCAGTGCAAAAGTTTGACCTCCGGGTGTTATTTCCTCCTGATCCCTTGCGGAAAGCTTGCTAATCGACGTGGCACAATGTAAAGCAAGTCAACGCTTGCGTTTTCCTCCGGCTCCAGGTCCTCAACAAGTCTGCCTCCTGTGACTTCCTTCGGCAATCGAGACAACGGATCAATTTTACAGTGAATTCCGATTAGTCAAAACGCGGTTGTCATCCGAATATTTTCTTTACTGGAAGCTTGCAAGGCGCTTCGAATAGTCGACGCTACTTGATTTCTCTAGCGAATCAACGTCCTCAAACCGAGGAGGATTCCAAAGGTGCATCTCAGATGCATATCTGCACCTTTCGAGTCTCTAGGATTATTCGTCAAGCCTCATCAGTCAACTTGTGGCGCTTGCGTGGCGTTTACGGTCAAACTGAGAATGATGACGACATATTTAGACCCAAGTAACACTACTTGACTCGCGCAGTAATCCGAGCAAGTCTATATCCGTAGTCATGGCTTAACAGCTGCAGGAGTACTGCACTTCCAAATCATTGGTAAAATCTCCTCACAGTCTCCGATGCAGTGCCAGCCCTCAAGAATGGGCGGGGCCTTCGGATGGTATCCGCCTCTCTGATGTCCAGATCGCCGAATACCGTATGCGCAACGGACGACGGGAGGTAAAGTATATAAGCCTACAATCGACCTGAGAATCATTTCACTTCATATTCTAACGGTGGATGGCCTCTCAATCAGCAAACATTCGACGAGCTTGTGGAACTTGCAGGTATAGTTTTACGACGTGTTTACCCGCTTGATGAGGGCTCACCACGAATTTTTACTAGAAGGAGAAAAGTCGTGAGTTGCCTTGAGAGTTTCCCCAGCAGAACCCCCTCTGATGCTCCCAAAATCCAGCGATGTGATGGTAATCGACCAGTCTGTGGTCCTTGCTCCCGAAGATCCCACCTCGGCGTAGTAGAATGTGAATACGCTGACTTCGATGGGAAAACTGAATCCGAAATCCTAGAATACAGGATTTCGGGACTGGAGAGCAGATTGAGAGAGCTGCAAAGTCCTCAAGAGACTCCAGTCTCTGTTTCTCTCACGAACCCGTATCCAGAGGTGAGAGATTGATCTTCGTGATGCAGTTTCAACGCCCAGGAAATCTGACTCGATGACAATAGCGCCGATCATTAGAGGTATACCGCCCTTTCACGGCTCCGAGTCAATTAGGTTCTGACTCGCCAATGTCCCAGAACTTGCCTTCCGAGCTACAAAGAACGATGTGAGTGAAACACCGCTCATCTTCTCACATCTGTTAATATTCCTCGAAACAGACTCACCTCTGTTCTGAGTCAGTCGTTCAATGTCGGCTTCTTTCTCAATCCAACGCGTTTCTGGGCGTCAGCGATGTCAAACTTGCCTCCAGGGCACCCTGAGCGTCCGACTGTGACTCTACTTACTGTCGTCCACCTTCTTGGGCTCCACCTTACTGGGCGATCTGGGAGCGCCCAAGATCGTCGACGGGTAGAGACTCAAATCCAACAACTCCTCTCGACTGCACTCCAACAAGTGTCGACCATGCTGAATTCCAGTCACCCCCATAAAATTATGCATGGAATTCAAGCCGAAGTACTTCTGAGCACTTACTTCTTTGACATCGGAAGGGTCGTAGAGGGGCAGTATCACCTCAGTACTGCGGTTTCGCTGGCAATAGGTATAGGTCTTCACCAGATCCGTAGCGCCCGAGCAGGACGTACGGCCACTACGCTGCCTCCGCCTCGAGATCCTGTCGAAGAAGGGGAGAGGATCAATGCGTTCTGGGCAGTTTATACACTTAGCAGTATATGGGGTGTGGCTTTGGGATCTCCTTCGGTTTCTGTATTTGAAAGGAACGGGGATACAATTAACACTCCTTGGCCGCTTGATATGGCCGATTATGAGCAGGTGTGCTTAGCATTCCTCATTCTCCAAATTGCAGTAACTCACCGCGGTTTTAATCTTGAAGAATGGTCTACCGCACGACCTCGTGGGGGCATCGACGGTTCAGAACTTTCTTTTTCGCGTGCAACCAAGGACGGGCGGAGTCGTCTCCTCCGTGAACGCGTTGGCCTCTCAGGCTTCGGTTCTTCTACACAGTGCCGGAAATCTCGCGGCAGAATTCCAATCTGGTATGTCTGGATTTTTACTAGTCCTACTCGGTTCGTGTCTCTTACTTGAACCCTTCTCCCCTATTCAGAGATGACGAGCGCAGAGCGGCAGAGATCATTCCAATTGTTTGGCTCTCTTGACGGCCTCATTGACACATTCATCGGTTCTCGACTTCCTCCGATAGGCAGACTTGAGCCCACTTCGCGCGTTTTCGGGGCTGCACTGCTAACTCATACGCTTGCGTATGCGTCTTCGATGCAACTCCATTCTCCGTTTATTGACAGAGACCCAAGCTCAATGGCCAAGTCATTAGCGGCTGCGGAGGCATCTGTCAGTTTGCTACGAAGAGCAAATGGTGCAGAGTTCATGCCGCCGGTAATGGCTATGCTGTGGGTGAATGTGGGTAGGGTCATTTTGAAGGAGGTGGCACGGCTGCGGAGAAGTAATCGGGGCAATCGACGCCACGGTGGCAACGGGGGAGGAAGTGAGAGGGAGGGAGAATTGTTGAGGGATCTCGAGAGGATCATGGAGACCATGCTGACCTTCGCGGAAAGTTCACCATTGATGCGTGAGTATCGTGCATGTTTTTTTTGTGGATGTCATGCTGACCCTTTGAGATTATAGGAAGCCAATTGGCAAATTTACAAGAGCTATATCGAAGTCTGTGAGACTTGGCCCGCTGACGAGTCAATTGACACAGGCTCCGCCCCTTAGATTACTACCCCTCTGAATGATAATTTACTACGACATAGATACACGCGTTCATTGCTCAGCCCCTAGACTTGCCACGTATGATAGACGTCCTGAAGTATTCTTGAACCCGTCATCCCGGCTTTACCTTACACATTTCACTGCTATATACTTACTTCCTACGATACGTACTTCTGTACCTTACTATTCTTATATCTTCCGGAGACTCAGACTGCGGAGTCGGGCAGAGGGCATCTTGCTATTGCTGTGGCGCTGATGTTGATGCTTGCCTCTGCGTATGAACGAGCGTGGTTTGACGGATAACGGGTGGATGAACGTTGTGCAGAGTTGATGGCACTCCATGGACCAACTAATCCTTCTTTCTTTCAAGCCCGCGTTGTCTAATGGTTATGACGTCAGACTTCTACCAGGCAACGTAGATCTGGAGGTTGCGGGTTCGAGTCCCGCCGTGGGTTCTGAGAGTGGGGAAAATGACCTTTTTGAGAAGTCAGGCGATCTAGACTCTGAAGGAGGTGAAGGAAGGAGAGGCATTCAGAGGTGAGAGGGCACAAACCTTCCTTAACCCCTCCTGCATCACTAGAGTTAACTCACACTTCCTCGTCAGCGGCTACCAATGCAGATGTAGCCAAATTCAAATCAACCTGCACTCAGCAAGTATGCATCATACCTTCGAACTCTTCCCTGGCAGCATCCTTTCGGTCTCACACTCAAACATCGTGAACATCATCGTTTGACGGGGCAGAAGAGCTACATCCCCAGGTGGAGGATGGAAATAGAGGTGGGAAACAGGGGGTGAACATGAAGTACTCGTTCATAGAGGCATAAGCACAAGATAAGCAACGACAGTATGGGGGGCTTTTCTTGGAAAACTGAGTTTATCATATCCATAGACAGACGCGATAACCATACACTTGCACGTCTACTGAGTTGATGTCCTACTAAACACCCAGTCAATCACCTCCATGTCACCGAAAGCACCCGAATCGTAGTCTTCCTCGGGGTCCAGGGACCATGTTCTCGTTTTCATCACAAACGGGGCTCGAGTCACCGACAGCCGTCCTTGATCGCCACATTTCGCAAATAATGCCCTCGCTCTAGGCAGGTCCTCTTCGCTCGTTCCATCCGCGATTGTGATGTCGGAGAATGGGATGATGAGTTCGACTTCCGCCGCCGCAAATATTCCTGAGGAAGAGAGCAGAGTATCCAGGGTGGCCCACTGCTCTTCAACGACTCTGAAACCGCTGCCCGAGACGTTAAATGTGATTCGGTGGAGGGAAGAAGAGGATAGCGTCGCGATCATTCTGCGAATCAACTGCGACAGCACTACGTCAATGATGGGCGCCGCGAGGTTGCGATAGCTTATTGCTAATTTTTCGAGTCGATGAAGCGGGGAGAGGTCATAAAGCACTGCGAACGTCGAATCGTAAATCAAGGGAGTAGGTGGCAAAATTGATCTTGGTACGTACCTGTGTCATTGCCCACAATGTCAACGAACCACGTATTAAATCCGAGGTGTAAGAATCGTAGCTCTTGGCATTGAGCCAGGAAGGGTTGGATATTGGGACTGGGGACGGTGGAGACTTCGATTGTGTGTACCGAGAGGTTGACAAGTCTGAGTAGAGAGTGAGTGTTAAGCCACTGATAGACGTAGAGCAACCCATCAACGTTGATGGTACTATCATCTCCGCCGAGGCTTAGTGATTTAATGGACGATGGGAGAGTGTAGCGAGTGACGGATTGCTGAATCCGGTCGGGGTCTTCGTCATCGAAACACCCGCTGTACATTTTGAGAACCTCTAGACGAGGGAATGAACAGATGAAATGAATCAATGAAGTAGGATTTTCCGAGGCGAAGTGAAGGTTCAGTTGGGTAATGTGTCCAAATGAACGCACAAAATGCAACGCAAGGTTTGTTTGCATCTCGGTCGTTCTGTAACCACCGCCGTCCTGGTTGTTATCTGTCAGTAAGCTCCCCGCCTTTGAGACGATGGTTAGTCTCCTCAACGACGGAACCTTGTCTTCGAGACTCCCCGTAATAGACTGGATCAGAGACACATATGTCATTCCTTCTTCTTCACCGAGGATGCGTGCATCTGTTGGCAGAAAGTCCCTAGCAAAGCTAAAACCTATCTCCTTTACGTACCGCGGTATTGTCGAGTATTTAGAGCCTAAAAGGGTCGCAATTTCGGCGCAGCGGTAAGGCTCGGAGGTATCGATTTCAAGTGTTTTGAAGAGCAAAGGGCGGCAGGTACGTAGCCAGGATCGGCAGACCTCGGAGCATGAGAGCAGCGAGCCATGGTCACAGTCTGGGAAAATCTGTTCAACGAGTTCGAAAGGTAATCTGCAGTTATGATCCCCCGTAATCATGGTGGTGAAGACGCAAGAAGGTGATCACAGCCTTCATTGGATTCGAGCATTACATAGTCAGGCTCGGCTTTTCGGCCACTCTGCCAATAACTTCACACTCAGCGATCACGAAGGACGGAATGATGTCGCGTGGGATGTCCTTTTTCCAATCAACGATGATTGTGCAAGTAAAGGATTGACGACACACAGAGAAAAGAGTAGTTTACAGTGACAGAGGACAATCAGAGGACAATGATAGAAGCAAGAGGGCAAGCTTAACATCAACATTGTCGACGAGTTGACGAACTTTATAACAACTGATACCTATCCTACGCAATCTCCGCTTTCCAAGACTATAACCATCCTTCCACGTCGAAGTAGTCAAAGCGGTCGCTTCCACCTATTCTTCCATCCGCACAGCCCACCGAATAGACCTACGGGTGCTCGTGATCGACTAGAACTCTGAGCTGTATCTGCGCCCAGGAGCATCACCTTCGGTGACCTATGCCATGATAACGAGAAGGTACCGGTGGTTGAGCAGCGGGAAGGGGGAAGAAATGATAACGAGCACATCCGAGTCAACGGAGCGGTGTATACATTCAGAAAAAAAAAGCGTAGACAACGGTTTGTAGTTGTCATTGAGTCCGAAACGAGTCTCTGGTCCTTTTCAAGGCCGATTCAAGGCCGACTAGAGGCCACCGGGGCGGGAATGGAGATTGGATCTTGACAAATCATTTGGTCGTGGACACGGCGAGACGGATGTCTGCCTCTCAAAAGTCCGAACGCGGAGCGCCAGAGTAATGACTCGGTGCGAGGCCTGACTGAGGAAGAGGAATCGGGAGCTGAGAAGGTATAGGTAGGGGCCGACATCAGCAAACGGAGCAAGTAGGCGCTTCCGGCTGCCGAGACGCAATAACGATGGATGTATTTGTGTAGTCGAGAAGGAAGAGTCATGGAAGGGCAGAGAGGGTAGTCCGTTTCTCATCGTCCTCATCCTCGCCTAACTTCGCTAATAAGAAGCTCCTCCAAACGAAACGGGTTTACGCCAGGACATTGTCATTGGCTGTGATTTGTGACTCGCGAATGACGGGATTCTTATCAAATCAACGTTCCGGGCTTGTGGAAAGGATAATATCAGCGGTCGAGGGGTACGTTTTCCGCTTTCTGTCGTCTCCGCAAAAGTACTGAGCACCAGTCCTGGATCAGGGTAATGAGGCCATAGCTGGGGCCCTACGAGAGGCCACCAACGACGTTTCTAGGTGATGGGTATGCGATTTGATCTCGCCGGAGGTCGGGCCAACCTTGATGGAGGATAGTCGGGGAGCTAGGAAGACTCGGGGAGGAGCGTAAACAAGTCTCGAGCAAGTGATTGGTAAGAGTCAGTGGACGTGGGCGCCCAGTCCCGGAAGGGAATCCAAATAGTCGACCAAGCCCGGGGTATGCTCTTCGTGAATTCTGGAGACTAATGTAAAGTGAGTTCGCGCTCACCCCACGAGCTCAGCGGGTGAAGAGGGGTTAGAGGTTGTTCATAGGTGCCGGATATACGATGGGTGATGAGAACTGGAGCAACCGCACAATGAGAAGGATTTCAATGTCGTGCTTTCTAAACCCGTACGTGCGATGGGCGGAGTATAGCTCAGGGAGAAACTCCAGCTGAATGGGCTCGTGTCCACGATATCGGACGTCAAACAGGCCTCCGCTGACAAACTCTCCTCCTCCACCCAACGAGCGCCTAAACGCATCCGTCAACCCCATCCTCCACCAACCTTCCTAACAGCCAGAACTGAGGATCCTTCCCAAGGCATCAACCTCGGCGCTGCTTTTGCAACGAAGGGCGCTGGGCTAAGCTTTTCCTCGAGGAAGATATTCGACGATGGGGTGATGGTTGGGTGGCTGTGCACAGGAAAGTGTAAACCTGGCAAGGGCGTCACTGGAAATGGAAATATAGGGTTCCGAAGAGTAGGCAAGGTCCCTGCTAGGCCTGTAATAGACGGATGATTTGGCCGATACATCGTTCCCAGAGACTCGTCGAAGAGATGGCCAAAGGAACGACTCGGTCTTTCCACTTGTCTGACTCAAGAGTGAGCGACAGGCGACAGTATGGAAACCAACGGGCAATTCTTCGAAGGAAGGTTCGGCATATTTACGGGAACCGCCGTCTGCTGGTGTGATCGAGTCGACTTGGGTGAGGTGTGCTAACCGCAAGGCTAGATGGATTGAGCGGCGGTCGGACTCCAAGTCATTAGCACGTCTTCTGGCTGACGATTACGATCCCGGGTAACGTCTGCATTCCTTCCTCTTCATGACAGCTTCTTCAGTAACTGGACAAGAAATATGCAAGCGTCAGAAAGACAAAGCAAGAAAAGATGAGGAAAGAACAAAAAGAAAAGCAGAACAATGGAAAGACAATGTTTAAAATAGCACTCACCAGAACCAGTAACATAGACCAAACGACTGACACGCCAACGTTCAACTACCCGTACCTACTACTAGGAGTCATGAACCTGAATTCCAGTGTTTTGGGTTCGGGCCCAATGGTGCGCCAATGATGTGAAGGAGATTGTGTCTTGCTGAGAGCTAACGTCGTATCTGTAGACCCAGAATGACCACCTGCCCACAGAGCTGGTACTTCTATGGAATCACCATCGTGAGTGGTATGAAAACCCAGGCGAAATACAAGAATTTCGCGCACCATAGTAGAATAATGTTTTAAAGAGTGCATTTCGTCTTTAAATGTTCAAAAAGGTGCCACTATCCTGTTATTGCCCAGAGGAAGTAGATTTTGGAATGCGAGGACGGAGACTTGAGAGGGTGTGGGTCGAAGAGAGAGCCAGTCACGTCTTGTCACATGTCACACAGTGTCCTTTCCGCCATCACAACCGGTACCTCACAAGAAAGGCTCCGCTCTTTGAAGGCCATGGATAACCGTCTACCTCTCGAACTGGTAGATATTATACTCAAAAGCTGTGGAAAAGGAACCCTATTGGTCTGCTCTCTCGTTTGCAAATCGTGGTTGCCCCTTTGCCGCCCTCGAATCTTTGATCGTATCGAACTCAACATGTTATGGCCAAATGCTCCAGAGAGATTCAGACAGCTGGTCGCCATGGAA